CGGCAGCGCCACCACTGCGCAGACACGCACAGCAGGCGACACGGCCGCGCCGGCCGCGCCGGCCGCGCCAGCAGGGGAAATTATAGTGACACTATCATTCTTTTATCGGCAAAACTCTATCGGTATAGAAATCGTCCTTGTTTTCCTGGAACCGGCCATCAAAAAAACCACCGAGCCGGCCGGCCGGCGCCATATTGCCGCCTCCCACCTGGTCGATGGCGACCGGAGTGTCATTAGTGCACGGTCCGGCCTGCCGGCATGGACGGCATCCCGGCCGGCCGGCAAGCTGCGGGCCGAGGTGGCCGTCGTGGAGGTCGCGGCCCCGGGGGCACCGCACTGCCCCAGTGACTGGCTGGCTGCCACCGCCACCGCCGCTGCACCACGGAGGGCCACACTACAAACAAGAGCGCCTATTCAACGAGATTCAAACTCTCACTTTCGGTAATCAATACACACCACACACACAGCCCCCCGGGCGGGGCCGGAGCCCGGTCATCCTCCCGGCAGTCCTGGTGGACCACAATAGGCCTCCTCCGCTCGTGAGCGGGCCGACCTCGCCCCACCCAATCACCAGGTCACTGCGTCACCCTCAGGGACGCCCTCCGGTCAACGTGCCGCCCGGCAGGCCATTTAGTGCTGACTGACCACTGGCCTGAATTTTACGGGTTTCGCGGCCGAGTGGGGGAGGTGGTGGCGGCGGGGCACGTGAGGGGGGAGGGGAGCGGCCGACGCCCAGAGGCTACAAACCGCTGCCCCCCGCCCCTCGCCGTGCGCCGCCGAGCCGTTGGGCTGGAGCTGGAGGTGGGTAGGGCTGCCCGGCCAAGCGGTGCGAAAATCTCCATAGAGCCAACACATCGCCTACGCATACAATGCCAGGGGCGGGCTGGGCCGGCGCAGGGCGCAGCGGGCGCGGGATACTCGATCGCGTTTAAACGCCGCGCCGAACGAAGGGGAGTTCTGCGAATAAGTGTCTGCCGCGTCCGTATCCCGTCCCGTCTGCGCGCGGCGGGGGGCGCCTGCGCCTGCGAGTCAGCGTTCGCCGTATCCGTCCGCAGCGGCGTTCCCTTCCGCGTCCGCGGCGCCCGCGGGTCACACCGTCCAGTATAGGGCCGCAGCCCAGCGCAGCTGCCCCCCCTCCGGCGCCGCTGCTGGGCTGGTATACACAGACCCCCACAGACAGACACCAGCACCAATTAGAATTACTAATGGTATGTAAAACAACGCAGAGAGCAGAAGGGCGCTGTTCGCCTGGCCTGGCCGCGGCCTGGCCGGCCCAGCCGGCGGGTCCGGTGCGCGCTGCTCCACCGCGCTGCGGTCCCGGCGGTGACGTGCCGCTGCTCCGGCGCGCTGGGGCGGCACGGCACAGACCGCCTGCACCGCGGAGGCGCGAGGAGGGCGTCGCCGTCACCAGCCGCCAGAAATTACACAAGAAAATAAAACTGGTTCGAGCTTTTTTCGACGCTTTTGAAAGTGCGGAAGATTTCGAAAACGCGCCGGGCGGGCGGGGCCGCCGGGGCGGGGCCGCCGGGTCGTTAGGCAACCTCGGCGGTGTCGCACAGGCGAGCGCGCCGGGTCGGCCTACCCAGCGCCTGCCGCTGCCGCTGCCGCTGCGGCCGAGGCGGGCGGGCTCACGGGGCCGGTGTCCGGGTAAGCCTGTGAGCCGGAGGGCGCTGACCCTCCCCTCCTAGGCCCCGCCTGCAAGGGCCTACCGCTGGTGGCAGCCGCGTGAACAGGCGCGCGGCGGCGCGGCGCAGGAGGGTGCAGCGGGGCCGCGATCTCCTTGGACTGGTTTGGGCCACGTGACGCGTGCAGGTCCACGTGCAGCAGCGAGGTGTTCGGGGCGGCCTGGCCTCACAGCGCAGGCGTGGTGCAAGGGGTAGTGGTTAGTGCGTCAGAGAAAGATAGGGGGGGGGGGGGCGTGTACGTATGAGAGAGAAAGATAGAGAAAGCAAAAGAGAAAGAGACAGCATAGGAGAGAAAC